TCTGATAAAACAAAAATAAAAGCTGTGCATTTTGCTATACATTTTGTTTTTCACTCTAAACCTTAATTTGCCTGTGCTCTTAGATCACCACCACCACAACTAACACTGATTTAGAGCTGATGATGAAGGTGAAAGCCAGCAGGAACTCCCACAGTCCCTGTTCCCATTATCACAAAGCCTGCAGGCAGAACCCCACATCCCAACAGCCCCACAGCCCACACTCCCCATGTCTGAGACCCCACAGAAATGCTCAGCACTCCCCAACTGTGCTCCTGCTGATTTTGCCTTCTTGCTTTCAGGCACTCACTGTTAAGCGGCCACCAATGCAATGCTGAGGATAACATTCAAAATAAAGATGACTTTTAGCAAAATGTTGCTTTCTAGTGGTAAAGAAGGACCTGACTGCTTGTCTGGTGGAAATGATTTAACAGCTTGCTGGAGCTTTCTGCTCACGTCAGTGCAGCTGGGCTATGTTGGATGCTTTGCTGATTTATACTGCCCTGCTCATCAGCTGTGCCTCATTGCCCCTAAGTAAATTCACTAAGAAAGAGCACGTCATCATCTGGCTCTTCAGCTCTGTTTTATAAGGATTTATCCCAGTGGTGGTTTTGGTCTCCCCAGAAGTTGCTTTGCTTCAGTTCTTGCATATTTATCCTTCATTTCCATTTGACTTCTGCTCCTGGAATAACATCCCGTGATCACCACCTCCAACTCATCGGTGCTAAAAAACCTTATTTCATTCAGTACCCGCTTGGTCTTGTTCTGTACAATGCATCCCAAAGTTGGGGCATCACCAGCACAAATGCACTCCTTCAGTCTAGGTAGGACTGCACTCTACGTGCCAATGTACCTCCCCCCAAAGCCACTGCCCCATAGCAATTCATTGCTTTTAGTTGCACCCCACAGTGTCCCTGCAGGAACACAACACCACAACAACAACTGTGTGTCTGCTCCAGGCTCCCTTTGGGACCCAGACGTGATTTGGCAGAAAACTGGAGCTTCCCTCTGCCTGATTCAAAGACAGAAATGAACCTGAGCAACTGGGGCACGGAGTGGGTGGAGGATGGGGGCTGCTTTTATCAGCGCTGCCATTTTACTGAGGTTCATTTGAATGCATCTCTGCTTTCATGAACTAAAAGCGTGCTTGGAAGTGACTCATAGCAGGGCAGGGGGAGGCAATGGTGGTACAGAGACTCAGCTAGGCTTGGGCCAGACCTTGCCAAAGGTGCACACTGCTGAAACCTACAGGAGTGATAGAAGGCATAGATGTGAGCTATCTGCCCTGAGGACAAACTGAGGGATGAGAGCCCCATGGCACCGACCAAGCAGGAGCCCAGGAGCCCTTTCTCAGCAGAATCCAAGCACCCAGCAGCACAAACACCTCCACGCTTCTGCTCTGCAGGGATGAACACAGAGCACCTCCTTGCAGTGTCCATCTGAGGGCCCCCTCGTCCCCAGCAGGGCACCATCAGTTCTCCTGGCTCAGGCTGAGCCTCTTGTTCATTATTTAACACCGTGCATCTGCTGCATTCCACATTTCCCAACAATGATAATAACGCCCTCATTAAGAGAGCTATAATGGAATTGAGGCCATTCTCCTGTTCAGACCAGCACCAGCCTCATTAAAAGCGTGCACAAGTGGGATATCACGGACAGTGCTATTTTGAAGCCACTTTTTACTATTTTCCCCTTTTGGATGGAAGTGCTGCTCTGATCTATTTCTGAACGCAGCTTTCTCCAGGCCTTTGAAACCCCCCTCCATCCTCACAGTGCTGAGCTCACTTCAATTTGGCCACCACAGCCTCCTGCAAAGAGCCCTGGGACCACCACAGTGGGGTCTGTCCTGCTCTGTCCTGGCTGCAGGGCTCAGCATCCATCCTGCACAGAGCAGAAACTGCACAGGGTGAAGCCCTCGTGTGACCCTGACCAGAGCAGCAGCTGCTGGGATGCACACACACTAATTAGGGAGGCTGCTGCTTAGCGTGGGGAGATGGACTGTGGCTCCCATGCCCATCTTGGATGCTACTGAAGGTTGAGGGCCAACACATCTGATAGAAAACAAATTAAGGTCATCCTGGTTATTCATTGCCGTGGGCTGACAAGGTGCAAAGCAGCCTTTTTGTATTTTCATGATACCATTATTGCTATTATTGCAGCTATAGCAATGCAGCAAAGGGCAAGCTGCCAAACTGCCACATACTTTGATTCAAGCAATTGATTAAAACATGAACTTGTAAGAGGCTTTATGCTTTGGAGAGCAAGAAAAATCACAGAGTATGGTCCTACCTAAATGCCTAAAGGGCTGTTGAACACATTGTGGGTCTATCTGATGAAATAAAATAATTCTCCAAGAATTCAGTGTGTACTCACAAAGAATCAGCGTCGTCAAACACTGAATTTGAACTCAATCAGTTATTTACATTTACTGCGATAACAACTATGATTATATAAATGGATTGGAGCTCTGGAGTGAAACATCCATCCCACGCCTCTGCTTGCTCTCATTACTCCATCCACCTTCTCTGCAGCGAACGCTGACGGGGATTTCTCCCACCTCGCAGCACTTTTGTCCACCCAGCAGTGGATGCCTGCAGGATTCAGACTGATTTCAGAGCAGCAGCTGCATTTCTTTTCTCGTGGAGCCGCTGTGATTGAAAACCCCTCATTTCTGCACTGCCTCCCATCTAGCGGGGAGGTTTTTCTTTCACAATATTGTCACACAGTGTTTGCAGAGCCCTGTGAGCAGTGCCTGCTCTGCTCTGCAGCTGTGTGCCTGATGCTGCCATCCTGCACAGCACAGGGGATGCTCACGGGGCTCTCTATGAGTTCTGCTCCTTGCAGGAGGGCAGAGATCCGCTCCCAGAAGCCGGTGGGATCCCACACCCCGTGCTGGGAGCTCCTCAGCAAGAACAGCTTTGTTGGCAGAGGGGGACAGATGGAAAACAGAGCTCTGTTCTCCTTCCAAAATGCCTTTTGCTGACTGCGTGCTTTGATCCCGGATTAGGAGAGCATGTTGGAAACGAAGTGATGCTAAAAGCGGGCCGGGCTGAACGCTGCTGCTCGGTCCCAGCAGCACACAGCAAGCTCCTCGGCACCCAGCCCATGCTGGCCCAAAACATTTGCTTTTCCTCCACCTGCCAGGGAGCTCCAACGGCAATTAGAAAGCTCAGGCTGCTGGGGATGCACTTTTCCCTCTGGATTTTTTTTTTTCTTCTGCTTCCAGTTTCCTTCATTTCTCTTTCAAATTTCTCTCTTTTAACTCTTGGCTTTTTGCCCTCGGGCCATTTTCCTGCTGAGCCAAGTGGGAAGGAAGGCGAAGAGCAAAACCAAGATGCAGAAACTCACCTCCCAAAACTCCAGAGCCCTGGCAATATCAGCACTATCTGACACAGCAGGGGAGGAGATGAGGAAGGGGACAGGGAAAGCAGAAAGAAATCAAGCTTTTGCCCCTTTGCAAGTCAAAAATGTCCAGTAGTAGAAATGTGATATTTAGGCTGGCTTGGAGCTGTCACAACAGCCAAAAATCCTTTTAAATCATGCTTGTTCAGAGGGGAAAAAAAAAAAAAAGCAGAAAAAAGAACACACCCCTCTGAGGATATTAAGGAAAACGAAAGGCAGGGATAAATAGAGAATGGTAGATGGTAAAACATGTGCAATTGCACCTCTTGTACAATAGACGTGGTTTCTTTCTCTGCTCAGCTTGAAGGCTGAGCATGACAGCCGCCTCATTAACAGCACTGTACAATAACATCTCCTTGCTATTAATATGCAAATTGAAACGCACACACCGATTAAAAACATATTAGACAAAGGCTGGTGTCAGAGATGTGCAAGGCACACCACGAGGCTCGATTAGTGAGCAGCAGACCACAGAGGGGCTGCTGCTTAAACTTGCCAGCCCTGGGATGGCAAACCTCAACTGATGGTCAAGGAGCTGTTAGCATCAGCACAGCAACACCTGCAGGCAAGGATCTGCAAATGGAGCCCTCTGATGTGCAGGACGTGGCTCTGTCTGGAGAGCCCTGCAGCTTGGAAGAGCACGTGGCAAAGAGAAACATTGCTGGGACAGCAGGAATACCTCCATCATCCCCATTCTGACACTGGAAATAGACTAAAAAAGGTCTCCTGAAGTCTTGGGTGCAGTAACATAAGTGGGGAACGCATTGGGATGTTAATGCCTGTTTGCTTTTTCTTTCGTTAGGTCACAAATATTTCACAACCAAATTGGGTTCTCTGTGCCTCTCACTGCAGCAAACACAGAGATTCCAAACTGCTCTCGTGGTGGGAGAAGACCAGGAGCTCAGAAGGACTCAGAGAACCACGGTGAGCACCTGGCACAGCCTGGAGGAGATTTCACTCATAGAACTCAAAGAGAATGGAAAATGGATCTAAAGGTCTGGGCTTGCTAATGAGGCTGATGCAAGAGGAACTTAACAAGGCAAGCACCATTTACACACGGGGAGCATTCTTCTCCCATGATTAATTTCTTCCTACCAAGCGGTGTGCCTCAGGGCAGAGTCACTGTACAGACTGTTGCCATAGAGCTTTATTGCCTTAACACGGGAAGCCAGTTAAGAAAACATGCATTATTTGTGCTGTCATGTGTCTGAGCACAGAACAGCACAGGAAGGCAGCCTGTGGCCCTCTGAGACATCACTGGACAGCTTCACATCACAGCCTGAGGAACGGTATTGGGGTTTGCCACAGAACTTGAGTGGAACACATCTACAGGATCGCAGCTCTGGTGTTAGAATCACACCTCCAGCCACCAGCAGTGCTCTGTTAACACTGCTCTGCAGGAATGTGTGTGTGTGATGCAGCCAGACTGATGGTTATTACCTTTCCTGACACTTTGACGTGGAATTTCGAGCTGCAAAAACGTTTGAGCGGAGCAAAATCACCCCCTGTAATGTTCGGCTGTGCTGCACAAAAAATGCAGCCTGCGTAGCTTTGATGAAGAAATTATAAGCAAAAGTCCTCACCCCTCAATTTAAACTAACCTTGAGGGATGCAAGGGTTTCACTGCTTCCATTGCCAAAGGTCCCAGATGTAACTGCACAGCCTTTAAGCTTGGGATGCTGTACCCATCTCAACATCAGAGCAAAGTGCGTGGTCTGGAGGCAGTTCTGCAGGGATCGCTGACTTCCCACCAGGAGATTTGTCTTTTTATGTCTTGCTTTGAAGGCCTAGTGAACTTCAGAAAAGGAAGAGATTAGAAGGATTTAGGGACCAAAGCCTGCGGCCATGCAGGCAGGCAACACATCTAGGGAGGGCCATCCTGGCTGCTCAGCCCAGCACACTGCAGCAGGAGCAGAGCTGTCTGCACACCTGCCCAGGAAAAGAAATTATGTTTGTGCTATGATTAATTTGCTGCCATTAGTTCATTGTGATTACCTGAGCACACACGTTAGGAACTTCTCCTTTCTCTTGGCAGCATCACCTCTGCAGCACCCTGAGCACAGAGTGGGAGGAGGAGGAGGGCTGTGGGAGTCTGGGGGGGAAGGAGCTCAGAGAATTCCCCACCTGCCTGCATGGTGTGCTGTATTCCTGTACCACGTTCCCCCTGTCAAGAGGCAGTTTGCTTTTTCAGAAACACTGCCTCACATTATCACCCAGACCATGATAATGAAAGAGCCCCATAGCTATGGAACCCAAGGAGATGCTTATTCATCTGCAAACAGCCCGTTCTCCTGCACACATGAAAGGCATTGATGCAAGAGCACAAATTAATCATGTAGAGCTTCTTTAGCACTTCTACTGACCCCAGAGAGTAAACAATTCCATGCTGCATCACAACCCAACCTTTCCCTCTGCACAGCTGAAGGCAGAAGTACAGCAGCAGTCAGGGAAGAGGTGACAGCACCAAAGGTCACGCTGTAAGGCTGCACTCCTGTCCTCCTCAGCAATGCAGTCATTTTCCTCCACCATCTGAATTTTGCTTCTGTGCCCCCTTACCTGAGGATTGGGCTCTTTGCCCCATTTTCTTTGCAATCTCTATGATCAAACACGACCATATTCATATTTATTCCATCAGCAGCGAGGATGAACAATGGTTTGCCCTGTTTGGTTGAGCAATTAGCCCAGCTATTGTAAAGATGTAGCCTGTCCCTTTGATTAAATGCCAAATGAAAATAAAGTGCTGATCATTGCCCATTATTTACCAATAGATTTCACATGACAAAAACAAACGAGCAAAACCAAAAACACAGACACAGGAAACCCACAGTGCAAAACCACAGAGGTCTCATTTCTTCTTCTTCAACTGGTGGGGGTCTATTGAGTTTCATTGCTGGCAGGCAAAATAAACACAGCCTTCTGCAGAGCAACGTGTGTTATTGATCAGCCTCCTGATTTAGGAGAATTATTTCTCTTCTCTCCCAAAGATTTGCAAAGAGTCCTTTAGAAACACATCTGGGGAGCTCGGGCTTTTAATTGCTTTCTCAAGGTAACATAATCATTTTCACCAACAAAAGAGGGTTTGTTTTCATCAAACAGGTAAGCGAGGTAGTGAGGGATTTCAGAGTCCCAGGTGAGATAGTAATTAAAACCGGTGGCACAGCACTGCCAGAAGGGAGGAGAGCTGAGCAGCTTTGCAGTGCCCATCGGGTGCAGCAGCACAGCCCTGCAGCAAACATCCCAGAGTGGGAGAGGCACAAAGAGCAGAGCTGCCAGCAGCAGTGACACTGTTTGCTGTTCCTCCACAAGCAGGCACTGCCCACAGCATCCTCTGCTACCGAGCTCGCTGACTTACCAGCAACCACACGGCAGACATACAGTGACAGCAGTGATGCTATGAACACATCAAATGACATTTGCACCACAGCTGCAGCTTTCCAGGTGATGTGCCCAACTGCCCCTCATCTGAAAGACAGCTCTGCTCAACACCGAAATGCAGAGCAGCACGTCCTTCCTCTGCTTTGATTTATCAGTGTGCACAGAAGCGGGTGGAGGATGGCAGATTGACCTGTTTGTTCAGTTTGTTCACCAGGCAGAGAATTCACAAACCTGTGGGTGAAACTCAGTTTCCCAACGCAGAGCCAACAAGCAGAGAGGGGCACCGGCTCACTTTGAGATGCAGCATTTCTGGTAAATGAACTGATGGAGCTGTAGGCATCACCATTCTCTTCCAAAGACAGCAGGCAGCCTCTGGTTGAGCGTGCTCAAAGAGGAAATGTCAGAGCCTGTTATTTCGGAGATGCAGAAGCAGGGAAATGGGCAGTCTCAGAAGGATTGTGCTACTACAGATATACAAACCAACCAGATTGCTCTGGAAGAGGTGGTGCTTAATCTCTACCAACATTCTCAAGGCAGTTTCGCTGCATGCAAAGTGCACTAAAGGAGCTGGTAGAACATGGGGCACAGCAAGGGTTGCTCTGCATTGCTCGTAGGTCATACTTGCAAATTTGATCTTGGTTATCTCAGTTCTCCGCGTCGCAGCAGGCTAGGCAAGAAATCTGCTCCTAACACCATTGCAAACCCCCTCATTTCCACTGGGTAGGTACTCACATCTCAGCTCACCCCAACACCGGTGAGGAGTTCATGCCTCGCAGATGAGGACCCAGCTGGGATCCGCACAGCACTCCTCCTGGACATCCGAGGCCATTGCACTGTTTTCTTTCCAATCCTCTGTGGCTTTTTCCTCCCTGTTAGCAAGGTCCCACTCCCCACCATGGGGCCTTGGCTGTGCAGCCCCTCTGACAGGTCCAGGAAGTTTTCTGGAGCAGCTGGCACTGGGAAATGTCCCCACAGGGCTCCTGCATCCATGTCCTGCAAGCAGCCTCCACAGCAGCCTCCCTGCCTGGCACCCACCGCCCTGCTGCAGAACGAGGGGTGTTGAGCATCGCTGTGCATCCAAAGTCAGCAGAGCAGACAGCTCCCATCCACCCAGCAGCAGTCCTAAGGGCAGGGAAAGGATCCTACGCTTTCACTTCAGCTTTCTCCTCCCAGTGAACCGTTTGTTTCTCTGAAGATGAAGAGGAAAGGAAAAACATTCATCCGTTATTCAATCCCTGCGGTTCACTTTTGGCGGTCAAGGTGTCGGCACAAAACCATGCTGGAGAAGGTGAAGGAAGCGTGTTTATTTCTGGTTGGAGGCTGATTACATCACTACCGTGGATTAATGCAATAGAATATTTTTATACTCTCGGAAGAAATCTAAGAATAAATATGAAAAAAAGTAAAATAGTTCCTTTCTTCTGTCTGTGGCGATGAGTGATGAGTAAGCGTCGTATTTACAGGATAGGTATCATTCTCTAAACTCTGTGCTGAATAAATATTATCTTGAAAGGGTAAAAAAAAAATCCATTGAAATATTTTTTAACTCACCACAAAATTAAAAAAAAAAAAATTAATAATAATAATAATAATAATAACAATAAGATCCGTGTATCTGTCCAAAGCGAGGGTTAATTACGTGTCAGTCATCCACTGCATGGGGTCAGTGTCCAGGATAGCAGCCTTCCTCCCTGCAGGTGAGGCCTCAGTGCTTTTCCTTGCTCCGATCCCATGCACTGCTACTGATTCTTCAGGCTGCAACACAGAAATGGAGCAGGGTCACACTCAGCCCTGGCATTCCTGGTTCGGATGCAGGGCCCTGCTGGGTTTCCCTTGGCTGAGTTTTGAATGGGAGCAATGAGAATGGTTTGGTTTGTAAAAAAAAAAATAAATATATATATGTATATACAGGAAACTTTAAGCATAGAGATGGGTTTTGTCAAAGGGAAAAGGATGCTTTGCTTGGATCCTCAGTTTAAATGGATGAGATCAGCATCACCTGCAAAGCCACCAGGAGACAGCTTTGGCCAATGAGGGGCTCCTCACTGGTTGATATCAGACTGATAGATCAGAAATCAGCTGTTTATGCTTGGCATTAAAATAATTAATCTGCACACCTGGCACCACAAAACCAAGTCTATGGCTTTCAAATTATGATCAAAACAGCAGATATCAGAGATACCTTTATTTTCCCTTACTTTAAAGGGAAGGGAGAGACGATTTAATCCTGTAATGAGAGAAAGTATTACTTGCTGCTCTTCATAGGCAGTGTAATTATTCAGCTGATCTCTGGAACCACTGAAATAATGACAAATTAGAATGCCTTTCAGTTCCATCTACCTTTTAGAACTGTTCATCTTCTGGAGTTATTATCACTCCAAAGGCTTCTTTATATTTTAGGCAGTGGCCACCATACATCACAGAAAACACACAGAAAATGTTTCTGCTGCCAATAAAAGTTGCCATCAGCCACAACAGGCAGCAAATATTTGTTTATGCTTTCTGAAATAGACTGAAAAAGATACGGGAATGCAATCTGGTGAAGAGTGACATTTGTCCAGGCACGATATTTACAATATTTTGATTAGCTGCGATGGCTGAACGGCCAAGCAGCTTATGTTAATAAATGCCCCATTCCAATTAGACATCTGTGCTCTGAATCAGGATCAAAAAAAAGGAAAGGAACCTTCGGTGGCACGAAGCCTGCAGTCATTGCTCCTGAGCTGCCCATCTATCTTTTGGGCTTCGCAGGAAGGGCTGGGAGGGAACAGTTTACATCAAACCACAGAGAATGAAGAATTCTGTTGCTTCGGCCCATTCCAAGGCCAGCACGTGGTTTTCCCCCAACGTTTTGGATGTGACACGACCTCGTTCTGCAGCTCCTCACAACCCCATCTTTCGGTTGCCACCAATCCCCATAGAAACAGAGTGCTGGCTGCAGCCAGCTGAGCTGAGCATCACTGGGTTTGGGGAAAGGAGGAAGGGAGAAGGGCAGATTACAAAAAAAAAAAGCCAAAAAAAACCCCCACATCTATTTCTGGAAAGTAAGTCAAACAATGACTCAATCACCACTGCACAGTTCATAAATCCCTAATTAAAGGTTTGGAGCTCCTCCCTGCTGCAGATGTTCCAGAGTCCAGCTGCAGTGCCTGCGCAGCATGCCCAAGCATGGCAGCACCCAGCGGACTGCAGCTCCCAGCAGCGCAGGGCAGATGATTCTGTGATGATTCTGTGATGTTGGCAGAATGGGGAGCTTGAAAGAAACGTTCTCCACCTGGCTGGAGAGGCAGATCCCTCACTTTGGTCAGAGGTATTTTTAAAAGATGCCTTTTTGCTTCATTTTCAAACTTAAAGCATCTGCATCCTGCAGAAAAAGTGGAAACGAATACTCGTTACCTTGCTCTGTAAATTCACTGAGCAGAGGGATAAGGACAAGTTCAACACCAGCTGCCTCCTCCTATGTTTTTATTCAACACCACAACATCAGCAGAGGCATTTCCAGCTACTTTTCCTCCAGCACTGCATGGAGATGCACACGAAGGGCTGAGCCCCACATCCCACAGAGCACCACCTGAAAGCTGCTCTGTGTTGGGTTATTTAAAGCAGCTCCAGCAATGGCCTGGATGCATGGTGCCCTCTGGAGAGCTCTGGAGCTATAATCAGTATCTGTTCCTCATCTCAGTCCTCATAAACATTCCTCTCTGCCAAAGCAGCTTTTCAGAGAACTCATCTCCCTGGTACATTATGGGTGCTCCCAGCTTCCAGCCTGCAATCACCATTCTGCCTGTCCCAAGCTAAACCTCTTCCTTTACAACTCCTTTTTTTACGATATTAAGTATGACAAGCTACATAAAATGTTTTGTTGCCTTGGCAACTGCAATGCATTAGCTTCAGTGTGGGTTATGAGGAAGAGGACAGCCTTGATGCTAACCCACAGTAATGAGAATGGCACAAACCAGTGGGCAAAATGCTGGGCCAGGCATTGAGGGCAAGGGCCCCCACCACTCACAGCACCCTGCTTCCCTGTGCCCACATAGAGGACAACGAAGCTACAGAAATGCCTTTAAACAAAGAGAGCAAAATCTGGTTATGCATTAATTACAGGGTGGGAAGAGCTTTTGTTTTGCACGAACCCAAGCTGCCGAGCCATTGTCTCCCCTTCTTCTGCACTTCCCTACAGTTGTGCAGTGCTCGGATCCTGAGGCTGAAAGATGATTGTGTAAGAATGAACAATGGGCAGAGGAAAGGGAATAATCAGAGCAATTTCCCATAGAAATGGGACAGACAAATGTCTCTCATTGGCATTCTGTTATTACATTTGTACCACGCTTCCTTACAAATCCATCGCTTTGTTTTCCTTTGTCCTGAGTGCCCACAAAAATCTCTGGGGATGAGATTTAAATCATTAGCAACGAGTGATAAGCAACTAAATTTGGAATGACAGATAAGAATATTAATTTGTAAAAGGAGGAGGTCCTTGGAAGAACAGTGGAAGCCCTGCAGCCTTGCAGCTACTCCTGCGCTCCTCCTGCCCCAACTTTTGCTTCCAGCCAAAGACAACAACCCAATGCTCTGCTGCAAACACACTCCATAAGGCTCCGAATTCAGCCAAGGGAAAAGGATGAAGCAAAGTGCCTTTGAAGTTTGTGTCAGTTGGAAAGAAGCTTTTGGGAAAGCAACAGATGAGAAAGGAATCCTCTTTCTGCAGGAATCGTGTAAGGGCTGGAGATGGGACTCTGCTAACTGCAGGACATTGGGCAACAAAGCAGGAGGTGTGGGCACTAAATAGGGAACGGCAGGCACTCACTCACTCCATGCTGAATAAAAGGAGTGCATCTTTTCTGCACATCCCTATTTCCCGTCCATGAGGCTGCTTTGATTTGAAACAAACTCCTTTTTCCTTTGCAATAACAACAGCAGCAATGACAGCGATAATAACACAAACACTGAAAGCCTGGCAGGGGAAGGATAAATTACAGCTCCGCGCCTCAGCAGCACATTGCAGCTGCTCCCACCTCGTGTTTCCACCAGGACGAGCTGTCAGCTCTGCTCTCCAGCAATGGCACTGACACTGATCCATCAGCACTGTCCCCGTGTGTAGCCCAGAGCTGCATTGCACACACCAAGGAGCAGGGAGATGGGGTGGGGGCTGCCTGGGGCTCCCCATTCCCTGCACAGCCACCCCGGGCATTCCATAGCTGCCTCCCACATCCCAGCCCCCAGTGGCACGGAGCAGGAGGTTCATCACCACTTCCTCCCATTAATGAAGATATAAATCCAGGAAGAGTAATATTTGTATTAAACAGGACAGAGCTAAAGTAAATAGCAAAGAGAATCCTGGAAGGTCTAAGATCAGCGAGGGGAGGGCTGCACTTGTCTCCTTTTGCTTAAGCCACCAAAAGACATGCTTAAGACACCAAAAGCCACCCTTAAAGCTGCTTCAGGTACTTCAGTAACGAATGACATCTTTATGTCCTTCCTCTAATCTGGGCGGCCCTTGGTCCTCCAGCCTGAAACAGTTCCCAAAGCTCACATGTAAGTGTATTAAGAGAGATTAGTTCATTAATCTACTCCCCTTTACCGTGTCTCTTTACCACTTCATTTTAATAATTTGCACTAATTGACAGAGCAGATTCCCTCCTAAACTCAGGAACTTGGGCAGGACATTTGCTGTAAATCACAGCACATTTTCAATTGGAAACACCTGATCCTATCCACCCCAGTGCCTCCGCTGGGGCTCAGCACACCAAAGGTGCTCCCAGCACAATGTGACCACAGGTACCCACAGCACCCCAATGCACACACAGAGCATCATCAGCCCTCAGCAAGAAGCACAAAGCATTGCTTCCTATAGTCAGAGAGAGCAGTGAGGTGCTGGAACAGCTGCCCAGAGAGGCTGTGATGCCCCGTCCATCCCTGGAGGTGTTGGAGGCCAGGTTGGATGGGGCCCTGGGCAGCCTGGGCTGGTATTAAATGTGAAGGTTGGTGGCCCTGCGTGTGGCAGGGGTTCGAGATTTGTGATCCTTGAGGTCCCTTCCAACCCTGGGCGTTCTGTGATTCTGTGCCTCATCACCCCAGCAGGCACAGATGGGCAGAGGACCCCCGGAACACGGTGGTACCCACTTGGTCTGATGCTTGGAGCCCTTCAGGTGCGCGTGGTACTGCTCTATGGAGTTCAGTGTGACGTTGCAGATGTTGCACGTGTAGCTGCGCTTCAGGCCTGCAAAGAGAAGCCAGGTTTGTTAGCTGTGTACCTGTTGAGCCTTGTTGGTGCAGGCTGAGGGCTGTGCACGGAGAAAAAGTATCTCTGTGCTGTAGGAAACGGCCTCTGCTTGTGCCACACACTGCTCAGAGTCAATGCAGCAGACAGAGGGTACCAACAGCTGCAGAACCAGAGAAAGGAATGCGTACCATTTGCCCCTCACAAGCTTCTAATTAATCAGAAAGCACTCAGATCTCCCAGCTTGATAGACTTTTCTCCTTACAGTAACCTCTCTATGTACTTTTCCAGTCCAGGGTATCCAAGCACTGCTGAAGCCAAAAAGAATATTTGGAAAGGCACAGAACCACGCAGGGCTCAGAGGCAGCTGCCCAGGGACACTGTGGTCCCCTCAGCCATCCCATGGCTCTCACAGAGCATCATTGTGCTCAGAATAATGAGCACTGAGGCCCCAGCTATTCCCCTGCTTTCTGCTGCACGGATCGGGGCCGTTCCTCACCACATTCAGAGGCTGCAACCACTTGGGAGCTTTTTTCCCAAGAGGATCAACTCATCCGTTCAGCTGAGGTCCCCTCCACGGCAAGGAATGGAGCAGCTCTGCATGCAGCCCTGCGTGCCGTGCCAGAAAGAAGGGCAGAACAAAAGCAATTGCTGGTTTTCTATAAACGGAGCAAACTTGGCAACAAGGCACAGAGGGTCGGTACAACTCGTGGGAAAGGATGAGGCTCTCCTCTTCTGCAGAGCACTCCAGTTAACTTTGTTGTTCTTTCACCTTGGGAAAAGAATACAGCGGTTGCAAAGAGGAATGACAGAAACAGGCACTCCTGTGCCTCACCTAACATGTTTGCACAGCAAAGGCAGCGTGGCTGAATGTGCATTAAACACCCGTTTCCCTCCTGGACATCCTTGAAACAGAGAGATGGCAATCAGAGCTTCTGACTGCTGCTATGCTGCCGAGGCTTCACATAAATTAAGCACATAAATGCAGACCTAAATGTTCCCAATCCCCGATTCTGTTGTCTCCCTTAATAGCCTGCATGTAAGAGACCCATTTCTGCTCTCCTCCTCTCTTTTGTATTTAACATCCCAAGAATTCCCCGGGCATCATGGGCGGTATTAGCACTGCTGCATTAAACACACATCGGCATTACAGCAAACCATTGATGCTCAAATAATTCTGCCTTGTTCTCTTAGGAAAAAAAAAAATAAAAAAAAGGAGGGGGGGAATTTTAAATTCCAGTGTCAGGTTTCTGCTTTGCACTGATTCACTTCCACGAAGATCTGAACAGAGCATTTCAAGCTCAACGTGGAAACACAGAGGTGTGGGATTCCTACCGCAGGCTGCAGTTCTCTGTAAGAACAATTCTAATGCACCCTGCAGCCATCCTGTTGGTTTCCCACACCAGTGCAGTTATTCCTGCACTGATCCCAACCAGAGAAAGCTGTTAGGAAATTCTGTCCTGTCCATCTGCACATTTACTTTGGTGTCCTTGTGACACATCAGCATTCCCTCCCTTGAATCATGACACGCGTTCATGTAAAATTGAATGCATTCATATCCATTCGATAAAATATTAAAGAATGGAGTCATTAATGTCATTCTGCATGAAATGCATTAGAACACATTCCAGGAGAGCGCTTGTTCAATCACATTTCACCAACCAAAATTGACAGCACAGAATGAAAAGTATTTATAAAGCATATGAGGAAATTATGAGCCAGGAAGGAAAATTCAACTCCTTTGCAAGACAGCATCCACACCTGTGGCAATTCATCCGTGCACAGAGAATGCAAAGGCTGTGGGTGATGGCATCCCGTGCAGCCACTGATTCTGCCCCACTGCTGAGTTGCATCCCAACCCCACGCTGTCACCTCTGCTGCTCACCCCAAGCAGCCCCCAGGCAAACACCCAGAGCCCTGGGACAGAGCATTTGTGGACAGCTAAACCTCATACAGATGGGAGAAATGGTGCTGCCACTGAGGCTCCTTTCTCCCCTCCCCTTTGCCACTTCAAAACAAGACTTCAAAACTGCAGGATGAGCACTTGGCAAGAAGGACCAATGCTTTTGTTTCCTATAAATATCAGCTGTCTAAAAATATATCTCTTCTTATTTCTCGAATACGCATTCGTATTTATCAATAAATATTTTATTACAGCCGTTATCAAAACATCAAAGGCTGCTGAAATGTTGTGCTTTGACTGACACTGCTCATCCTGGGCTTACATAACGCATCAAATGTTCATCTCCCACAGCAGACAAAATAGAATTAATATTTCAGTTGTGATGGGAAAGCTGGGGATACATGGAGAGGAAATGAGTTTGCATTCCAGCCAACACTGAGGCTGCAAAACGAGCAGTGGGAGCAGACAGAACGCGGCCATGACCCGACCCTGCATTGCAGGACACCTGCAGCAGTGCCTCAAATCTCCAGCACAGCCCAGCTGCCATGGAGCATCCCTGAACGCTGCTCTGGGAGCAGCCCACAGCCCCATCTGCCACACAGAGCAGCCTGCTTGGAAGCACAGCTCCTGTCCTGGGCAGAGCACTGTCCTCTGATTGAGGGAGGACTAAGCAGGAGCCCAACCTCTGTTTGCGTCACCGCGGGTTTGTTTACAGATAATGACATCCCCCACCACTCCCAACCTTGGCAATTCCACGTCCCTGCGTATTTCCACACGGTGACTCAGCCCAATGAATCATTTAGGATGTTTGAATCACCCCGGGCAGCACCGGAGGGTCGGGGTAACAGAGCAACGCACAGCGCATTGCGCGGCCATCGGCACTTCAAGGAAAACTATTTCATTTTCACAAGGAAAGAAAAAAAAAGAAAGCTTTCTTAAAACATTAACCCAAGGTGGGCAAGCCAGGCTTCTCCCATGCGGTGTGCTGAAAATCAAACCTGCACTTTGTGCTCAAGCCCACTGCAGTCAAATACACGGCATGCATGCAGGACTGTAATTGGAGACCGCAGAGAACGCTTTTGCAGGAGGCCCTTCCCTCTCCTCCCGTAATTACATCTCTGTAACACAAAGCAGCTTTGGGGATGAGGCCACATCCTCATCAAAAGCAGCACATCCCATCCGGGTTGCACCCATGGTCCCACATGAGCCTCGTGCAGCCCCATGCAGCCCCATGCAGCCCCACGCTCTCACCTCTCAGCTCGCCCAGGTCCAGCGTCTTCCCCAGCTGTTCCAGCAGCTCAGCCCTGGCCGCGTTCTTCTTGTGCTTCTTGCCATCATAATGCTGCTGGGCCATCACGGGGTTGTTGAACCACGCAGCACACAGCTGGCAGTAGCGATCCGAATCCCTGCGTGGCTGAGGTGGGGATGCTGCCGGAGGCCGATCCACGCGGGGCTGCTTCAGTGAGCCCAAGGTCTCTGCAGGAGGAAAAAAGCAGGCATCAGTGCTGTGCTGCACCAGGCTGCCAGAGCCCAAAGCAGAGCCGTGTTGGGCACAATAAGCAGCAGTTATTTCATAGAATGGCTTGGGTTGGAAAAACAGCAACGCCATCAGCTGCTCGGGATAGAGAGACAGGTTTATAACCACCTCAGGATTATTACTTTTCAATGTGTTTGGTCTCGGAAAGAATAGGGAAAGCTGTCACAATTTTTAGTGTCACAGGTGAAAAAACTGCTCAGTAGTCATTCTGCTCACTCAAATGTTGCACTATGGGTTGACGAGTGCAGCAGCCACGACCTTAATTTGGTCCCATTTCCCTTCAGATTCATACGAAGCCGTCTGGGGTCACAAACGTGACCTAAATAAAAGCAAGAGAAAGAAGGGTGATGGGTCCTCACACTGTGAAGCCATTGGTTTCCAATGGCCTTGCCTGCCATTGGTTTCCTCCGATGTACAACATAAATCACAAAGCCTTGGAAAAGCAGGACAATACAATGCAGATAACACCGGGATGCAAAAATGCACAGCTGGTCATTAATTATCACACCTCATTCAAAAATGCCTTCTTTTTTGCTCCCAAGTTTGTTCCAGATGAGATGCCCGATATCCACACAATACACCACGGTCACTCCGTGCTGAGAAGGGGCAACTTGAAGGCTGTGAGCACAGCATTCAGTGCCTGCGTGGTTCCAGAGAGTTCACATTGCTGCAAATCTTCTGCTGACCTGCCCGGAATGAGCATCTATTAACTTTCCTGAAAGAAATCGTATCTTCCATCTCGTGTTACTTAACAACCTTATCTATTTCCAGGGCTTTATGAGCTCCCATTGTCCTGATGACAGCTGCTGGGGTGTCGGATGCTCACTGCCCACAGTGCTGCTGGTGCTCTGCTTTGGAGGAGAATTTTCTCACCTCAGCCATCGCGCCCTGCGACGCACCCAGCGCTGGCAAAATGAACTCTTTGGGGTGTTTGTTAATAAGATGACTGCAGTCATTAACTCCCGCTGGTGATGTTTGTTCTCTTCGTTTGACCATCCAGCCAACCGCCCGCTCACTGCCTTTGGATTTATTTCACCCCCTCCAAAAGGATTCCCATCACGTGGCCTCCATGTAACTCTGCACTGCACCAGGAGAGATTTCCACGCTCCATCGCTGCCTTTGGAGCACCTCAAAGTGCAGCCTCAGAGCAATGTGCTTTCAGTGCTGCTTCCAGCCCTGGGCCCTAAAGTTAAATCTGATGGATCCTCTGCTCAGCTTTCTCCCTGTTTGTATGTTAGCTGCTGCCAGAGGGGAACCACGGTGGCTTAACTCTGCAGAACTGGTGGTGTCTGCAGGAGTTACATCTACTGCTCCTTAAGGAGACCCGAAAGCAGCATCTCTGCTGCAGGGCTGAGCAGTGCCCCCACCTGCAGCCCCCAGCCCCACACCCACCCGGTGCCTGGGGTCTCCTCTCAGCTCCCACAGCACAAAGCATCTCCTCAAGGCCAGTTTACAGCCCCTAAGGCGTGCTGAACCCGTCCTGACAGCCAACAGAAACACCCTGCATGTTCCAAATCCTCCTGCAAACAAACAGATGAAAGCTGACTTCCCACAAAGGTGGATTTATCATTCTGATCTCTGGTACGTAACAAGAACTGAACAGGAAACATCACCATTCCCCGAGCTGCAACACGAACATTAATAATAAACACTCCCAAGACGTTAAAAATGTTGCTCTGTCCTAACACACAGACATAAAAGCTGTGAGTTTGACTATTCCAAGTATTTCGAATGCTAAACAGCTCACGACACTCTGCCTTACATTCCCCTGTGCTGTGGGAGGGAAGCGAGAAGCCTTACTTTGCTGCATGAGGCAAAATGCAAAGTTAGAAACACTTAGCACTCTGCTGATGAACTCATGGCTGACTCTTTTTTTTTGCTTGAACAGTTTTGTATTCATAGCTGTGCGTAAATGGTGCCCAACCTGTCATCACTGCTGCTCTCCAAGAACTAAAGGAGGAGAGAGCAGCTCAGCCCCAGCTGAGGGCACTGCATGCCCTGTGTGTGGAGCAACGAAGGCAGCAGCTCTTTTCCCCCACAGCCCTCTATAACTCATCCCGGTGCCTGGATGCAAGCTGATGGTGTTGGACATGACTGCAGAAATTCATTGGAAATAGCAGTGACATAAAGCCTCCGAGGGCTACAACTTCCTACAGGAGAAGCAACAGAAAATCATCACCAATGTTGCCCTGTAGTGATCAGACACTGCTTTCCCCTTGTGAGAGCCCTTACTGCTAGGGCCCTCCTCCCTCTTCTGAAAGCACCAGCAGAGAAATTGGAGATCTGTGTTTCATCAGGATGATAAAATAGACAGGGAAGGTGTAGCCCCGTAAAGAGGCTGAGAATAAATCTAATTTTCTGTGAGACTGATGAGACAAAAAAACAGAATATTAAAGAGGGATTTGCTCAGCAGCAGACTGCAGCCGTCAGCTCGTACCGAGCATCTGCAGAGCTGCAGATCCAGCAGGAGGAACTGCCAGCATCAGGGCTGGGATTGAGCCCCTGCAGGTGTCTGCTGGGAGCTTGGGGGTCCCACTGCCTCCAGGAACTGGGGATGGAAATCCAGCCACAGAAATTCTGCAAATGTTTTGCTTTTGTTGAGCACGTTACCTATTTTTCAGTGCATTTTCTTTACTGGAAAACACTGCTCCTGAAAGAGCTCCGGGAAATTCAGCCTGAATTTCCCTGCAGCTCCAACTGCATTCATTAGTCTTCATTTTGTCCCCTCAACTCATTCCATAGCCACACACCACAGAGACATCCGTGTGGATGAGATAACTTCCAGAAACGTGCACAGAATTTCACAAATTCACCCCTCCCTTTACAATCAGACCCCCCCATTAAGCAAGCAGTCAATTGAGAGCTCTCCAGCAATGCTGGGTAGCAGTGTAGATGTCTGTGTAAAGCAATAAACCAGGCTCTGCCATCTGGAGATGGTTTCCCATTTTGGTGCACTCAGCACCCCAGGATGGAGCAGGACGTGTCCCATAGGGAAAGCATTGTGTCCAATGGGCACATTCCTGAGAATGGCTGGAGAGCCAAAAAAAAATACACTTATTAGTGTATTCCTGCATCTCAGCTTCATCAGATCAAGTGTACGGAAGGCTCAATGAGTCCTTGAGTTATTCCTTCCCAGTGATTACTGCAGCTGAAGAGCCCATTACTTACAGAGCATGTGGTGCAGCTCACTTATTGCCTCTGTGAGGCTGATTCAGATGATTAGAAAATTAAATGGAAACACAATGCGAAGCTGCAGCTCTCGGAAGCCATTGCCTGGGGACGGGAGGACTTGCTGCTGTCTGACCATCATCCATCCACACGACCATCATTTCTCTGCCTTCACTCTCTGCAACCTGGGACCCCAAATTGTATATCTGTGGGCCCAAGAGACAGCACAGCTCCCAGGACCAGCACAGGGAACTGCCACACCTGCCTTTAATGAGCCTTCCTAGAGTGCCCTCGTTAGTGGGAAGCAGCAATCCACCTACTGGCACAGCCCCCTGCATCCCCCAGGGAAAAGCCATAGCTTCCCTCAAGCCAATCCTGACAAAGGACAAATGATGCTTTCTGCATCAGCATCATCAGCCTGCAAAGTTAAAAACAACAACAAAAGCACACAGACAGATTAAAAAAAAAAAAATCCCTTGTATCACAATTGGTGGGATTTCTGCACGCCTCATTAGGCAGGATGTAAAACACACAGCAATGCCTGGGCTGGTATTAAATGGGGAGGCTGGTGGCCCTGCATGTGGCAGGGGGTTGGAGATTCGTGATCCTTGAGGTCCCTTCCAACCCATTCTGTGATTCTGTGATGCTCCTGTCATGCTCTAAGCAGCAGTGAAGCACAGAGCTCAGACTGCGGGACAGCACAGCGATGCCAGCGCAGCTCCTGCTCTGTGTGCTGCTCTGTTATGGTCAGGCACACTCTGGCACAGCCAGGTTATCTGATTGCAATGTTTGACTTTTAAAATGTGAAAGTTAATAGGCTCGCATCATTGGAACCACCGCCGAGGAAATGCGTGAATGCCCATCCGGGCGAAAATCAAAAGGTGATCGATCCGAAACATTTTTAAAGACTGCATTTCCCTCTGAGGTAAAAGCAAATGGGATTCTGCTCCGTGCAGTAACAGGAAAGGTTTATTACATGCATTAGCTAAGCTGTCAAATAACTTCTGATAGTTACGGTGAGGCTCAGCCACTGCCTGGCAGAGCTGCTGCCTTCCAGGGAGCAATTCATGAACACGGAGATGGGCATCTGGCAGGAGGCAGCACCGATGAGCATCCATCTGCCCCAGCCCAGCAGACAGCAGTGATGTCTCCCCACCACCCCCACCTACCTGTGGCCTTCAGCGCCGGTGGCTCACCTAGCAACAGCTTTAACCTTTTGGCATGGATTTTCCCTTGGTAATGCGATTCAGCCACCACTGCTGAGGTAAAGGACATGTTACATAGCGTGCAGCATTTGTTCTTATCCACTGAGTCACCGTCGCTGCCCTGCAAGGTGATAGAAAACACAAGAAAGAGGTGCATCATCCCCAGGAAGGAGGAGGAGGACCTGAGTTATGTCAGCTCCGTGCTTCGCATGGGTCCCTCCACCCACACTGCAATGCAGCTTGATGGCCTCGATCTCCATATCACATCAACTGCACAGGCAGCTGGTAAATGCCTTCTGCAATTTGCCCAAATGAAGAGATAGAAGAAGACCCAGGATTGTGGTTGGCCCAGTGCTGGACAGCCAGCAATGCTCTCAAGCATGGGTTCCCTTTGGCAACCACAGCACCCAAACCAGCAGCACTGCGGTCACACAGAGCCCCAATGCTCTATGAAGCTATTCCAGAGCTATGGAATGGGACAGAGGCACTGAGTGAGGACAGCAAGCTCAGAGCTGAACCTGCAGCCAAACCCGACCCATAGTCAGGGTCATCCTTCCCTAAGAAAGAAGCACAATTAGAAGGAGGACTGATTTTCATCGCTTTTTTGTTATTAACTATAAATCAACTTAAACCTTAAGGAGAAATCTCAAGAGGTGATAAGTACTGTTCCGTGTGCAATTTGCAGCTCTTTTAAGCAGGATTCTCTCAAGATATTTTACGTCTTCAAAGAGAAATCACTTGAAAGTTAAGAGCAGAGTAGAAAAAAATTCCCAGCCTCTATTGATCATCAGCAGTGGTAACATATACAGAGCCTCCAACAGAGACCGTTTGAAAACCTGATACTTCAGTGTGTAGCAATAGGGTCTCTCCTCTTGTTCTGCTCTTTGGCAATGATTTTCTCTTTCCAATCCAATTTCACAGATAGGCTACAGTTAAAATAAAAAAGCTTCAAACAACCCTTGGACCCCTGAGCTTCACATCTACACCAATGGATGCTTCCAGGAGAGCATCTCAGGGCATGGGTGAGATGTCACCACCAGACCAGGGGTGCATCCTCAAGCACCCACCCCAACAGCAGTGCAGCACCACTCTGCCCTGCCATGCCCTGAAGGGTAATTATGCCTGGCCTCTTTGTCAGCGGCTGTTTTACCTGTAACCAGATGGGCTGGGGGGAACCTGACCCGTTGTCTTTTGTCACCTGCTGATTGATGCCTTGCTGATGGGATTGTGCAGCCAAGCGGTAAAACAACATCACTCCTCAACCAGGGCACAGAGCCCGGCAGCTCCCCATGGCCTTTGTGCTGGGGGCACAAGCCTGCAGCATCCCTAACCCTGCTCAGCCCAAAGCACGACAAGCAGGCACCATTTAGTTCCATACAACCCATGCTGCACAAGCTGAGCCGGCGTGCAAAGGATTTTTCTCCCTCCCGTCTGCTTCTGTAACTTTCTCCTGGCAATCCTTCCTCTCTGCCCTTTGCAAAGTTGGGGTCACAACCTCCATCAGCCACAGAGCAGCACAGTCCTGGCAATCACTGTCTGCTTCCCAGCGCTGACTCTGCTCTGCAGCAGCACAGGACAGCCCAGCACGCAGGGGCTTCTCTTTGTGATATTACAAACTTCAAAGCAAATCTCGGGCATCCAACAGAATTAGCTTCAGCCATTCAGCTGCCTGTTAACAGCTGCTAAAAGGCATAATCCTCACGCAGGGCCAGGCAGCAGCAGTGCTTTGCTGGATGTTCCCTAAGCAATCCTCAAGAAAAGTATGGATTTTTAATCCGTAGATACAAATCTGCTGTCTGCATTTCCTGGGTTTTACTGAGAAGAAAAGATTATCCAAACCCTTGAAATACAGCAGTACAAAACGTGGCACTCAAAGCACTGCAAAGTGTCTTAAATTTGAGTTAATTTTCTGTGCTTGAAGAAGGTTCTGCTGTGAAGGTGCTAGCAGGAATGCAGGATATTTTTATGCTCCCCAAAAAACAGCAGACAGAACTCTCCATGCCATTCAGAGGCCAGGTAGCAAACACTGAAACTCTCAAAGCCTTTTCCATGGAGCATCTATAACTGCAGAATCTTCTCTTTCTCAGCTGTGATTTGTGGAAGGAAACCAAAGTATTTCAGTTTTATGGCCTAAAGGATACAACAGAAATGGAATGCAGCTCTGCAGCAGGGCAGCTTTTTTTTTTCTTAGTGGCAGAAATGTACTTGGTTTGCAAGGACTATTTCTAATATTCATTAAAGTCAGTACGTCACAGCTTGACTGATACTGGTAGACATCTGAGCCGGGCAATGCAGCTGCATCCTTTATGCAGTAATGATGTTACTCTGCTGCCTCAGAGATGCCCTAAATATTTCTGTTCCCCCTGCATGCAGAATCTTGGATAAAGCTGATAAGCAACAGGGCTGCTTTGCAAACACGGAGCTGTAAACATGGGCAGATTTTCCCTGCCACGTTGTTACGATATTAATAACTTCAGAATGTAGGTCTGGTGTAGCAAATCACCCACCTGGTTCATAAGGACTCGCTCAATTCAGCCCCATTAAGGGGCACTGAATCAGCACTGAATGACCTGACTTCTTATAAAAGAAATGGGAAGTGGTTCAGCTCCGACTTACTTAAGGTCTATTTGCTTCTGTAGTCACCATCTCAGTGTGCTGAGGTGTGTGTGTGTGGGTCTGGGGCTCATTAGATGTAAAGGAGCTCGTTAAAGAATTATGTTCCAAGCCTATATGTGCATGTCCACTCTATCTTTCACATCCTGCAATTAATCACTCAGTAAAAATAGGCACGAGATCCCGTTGTGATGGGGCAGACTGCATCTGCAATTACCCTGCGTGCAACATAAAAGTTCTGCTAAAATTTTAATTACTGCGTGAAGGAGCTTTCAGATCCCTTTGGCAACTCTTGCAGGCTTCTGTCTTTAATTAGAAGATATCTTGCTAAATATTGATAGCGTGAGCCACAGCCACACGTGGATGCTGTCTGCTGGAAGCTCAGCAGCAGCTCTCATGCAGCCCAGCACACAGGGAGGGATGGATGCAGCTACTCCCCAACCTGCAGCACAACCTGACCCGGCTGCTGCAGGCTGCTTGGACCTTGTGAAGCTGAATAAAAGTCAGATATTGGCTGCCAACATATTCTTTTTCCAATGAAAGAGCATTGCAATAACTAAAAATGCAATTACAGCTGCTGATGCACATCATATTTCTTGTACAGTTTACTGAGAATTATTTCCAGTTACTTAGCATTGTGGCTAATCTAAATGTTACCTCTGGGGACCTGATTATCTGCAGCAGTTACAAAAAAATGCACAGAGGCAATGATTCATGGAGCAAACAGGGACTGGAGGTATACCCACGTTTTCTGAGCGGAGTTTTTTGGCTGGACAGCCTCCGTCGATGGGGTGAAGCATGTAATAGAGGCGAACTTTGCTGGCGTGTTTCCGACTCTGGAAAATGGGAAAAAAAAAGAAAAAAAAAGGAAGAAATGAGGTTTCAAAAAGCAAACGTGCCTTGTAGAAAACCAAACTGCAGTGACATTTCATGTCCCGTTGAGAAGTGTCTCCAAGTGAAGGACGCCACGTCTCACGGAGCTGAACTTACAGTGGGCTCAGAGCATCTGCTGTCTGCACTGACAGCTCCGTGGGCATGGGGAAATAGAAGAGGTGAGAGGAGAGCAATGGTTGTTATCAGCCCATTTCCATTCCAGGAGAGACCGAAGAGGTCGGGGCCATTTGGCTTCAGGAGGAGATGGGATGGCATCACCAGGGATAGGATGCACGCACGCAGACAGAAGCCTGCAGAGTTCTTTCACTTCCAGCAGAATAAAATAAAATAACATAAAGGGAATAAAATCTCACTCTAGGAAATAAGCCAACCGATACCTGCCAAAGGTTTGAAAGAAATTTCCCCCGCGGGTAAATTACCAGATAATTGTGCATTATGTGAAACCTCCTGCTCTGCTGGGAAGCAGCTGCTGCTGGCCCCGCATCACCCTGCAGACAGCACTGCCAGGACCTGGTCCAGCTGCAGCCACACAGGGGTGCTGGGTGCTCTGTGTGCACCTCCTGAGCCATAACTCCATTGGGGAGAGCAGCCTGAAGCCACTAACTATGTGCATCCGTGGCCCAGGCCTGCAAGGCAGCTATTATTATGCAAATGTTCCTCCCAATCTCCATTTCTGATTGCCTCGCAAGAACAACGGCCCCGTAATATTATAATTTCAGATCACAGATTTGCAATTTTAAAATATTAAATTATCATTAGCATGTACTGGAACATTCTTCTTCCCGCGGCGTGAACTTGGAGCTAAATTTGCACAGAGCTAAATTTGAATGCATAAATGTGAACTAGGCAATAATTTATTTTATTTTATTTTTTTAAATGGAGCAAATCAGTCAAGATAAATAATGACAAATATCTCTCCCTTCCTCCTCTTCCTGCATGCATTTAGGAAATGCTGTTTTGTCCCTGGCAGAGCTCAGCTCTACGCCTGTTGCTCTGAGTGGGGCACAGGAAACCCCAAAAGCTCCACCTCCCAGTGATTAGCAGCCTGGATGGTGATAATTAAGAGATGACATCAGAAACATTTGGAAGCCAAAGGACAGGTGTGTGCTGGCTGGCTGTGTGCAGCTACAACTGCTGAGTTCAGCACACAGCAAAGTTTTTCCGTGTTTTGTTCTGGGTATAAAATGTTTCTCACTTTATTTATGCATTTGTTCAGACCTGAGAATGCCAAGGAAAAGGAACAACTTATGTTTGGCATCATCGTAAACGACACGCTCCTTATGCAGCCTTATTATCCTACGGTTATAAAAGCAGAGCTTAAAATCATCCCTGGCTTTTAGCAGCCAGCAGTGAGTGTCTCATTCCCTCTGAGGAAGCAGAGGTAGCACAGCCCATTTGTCAGCTCATGTTATCTCTGGCCTTTCCCACATTTACATGTGCATTTATCATCCTAACACTGCAGCTGGAGCGAAGCAGCGACCCTTGGTGTGCTGCTCACCAACAGCCCTGCTGGTTTTCTCCTCCCCTCCACAGAGCCACCAGCAGTGGTGACACATTGGGAGGGTGACTATTGGTAGCAATGCTCCACAACAGTGATGCTCTGCAGCCACAAGATGAGCTGTGTGGGGTTTGCTGGGTTCCAGCCCTGGAGAAAAGCTGGGAAGAGCAGCGCTGCTGGTCCAGGAGGTGCTCAGCACCCAGCCAAGTGCAGGCACCAAAGGAGCATCCACATACAGGGAAAACTAAATTGGGATGGATGGGATCACACAGATCCCATTCTGGTCCCTCTTACAGCACGCACGAACCTTAGAAAAGGAAAAAAAAAGCTTTGACACAGACGTAAATTCATGGTCTTCAACAAGAGCACTGCCTTTGAAGACGTCTGCTCCTTCATCAATAGGCACCACAACTTCATCTTAAGAGTTTCTGTGCCTCTCAGTGTTCTTTTTGTAGATCTACAAAGCGTTATGCCAAAGGCATTTTCACTTCAATCCTCTGTCTCCAGTGTCTGCACACAGCTCCTGTAACGGGGAAGAAGTCTATAGACTACATCAGTACTGCACACCTCAAAAACACCCCTCTCTGTGGGCTGGGGAGCTCCGGAGGAGGCTGTTTTCACATAGCAACTGCAAGCTCCTGCACTGCAAGCTCATCTATTGTTGGAAGGCTCATCCACAAAATAAGGCAAATGGATCATTTATATCTCTATCAAATCTATTCTAATCCCAAGGACTGTGGCAGAGGCAGCAGGATCCCAGAGATTCAACCTCAACAAATGAAAGGGCAGAGCCCTACATTGTGCTAGGGAATGCAATCTGATTTTGCATAAATCGAGTTTTGCAGCACAGCTCTGTCCTGAGCACACAGCAGGGGCAGACAGTGTGGACTCTGTGGGCAGATGACAGCTGAGGACTCGTGGCTGCAGATGAGCCCTGGGACACAGCAATGATTTCTGCTTTTGCAGCCAGGACAGGAAGGGATGAGAGATGAGAGCTCGGGCTTACAGAGGATTTGCTTGCTCCCTTGCTGCAGTAACTGAACAGATTTTTGTGCATTTCCCAGCAGCAATGTCCTTGGGAAGGATCTCAGCAGGTAGGGAGTTTCTGACAGAGACTTTGGCTCTGGGTTTGCTGGGCTGCAGCCCACAGCAGCCCCAGGGTCTGTTCCCACCCAGCACCATTGAAATGAGAAGACCTGACAGCTGCAGATATTCCACCAGCTTGATCCCAACCACCTCACCAGGTTCAAACCGCTCTGCTGCTGAACTGCAGCTGTTTCTGATCCACCTTCTCTTGTCCCACAGTTGGTTCATTGCCCGCTCTGCACCCACTGCTCACAGCAGGGGCACAGACAGGGACAGGAGCAGGAAATGAGAGCAGGAACTGTGAGGGCAGCACTAATGGCTGTGGCATCACTTCACCTGCAATAAATTCTTCCCCAGAAGCCTGTTGGTTGGCTTTTAATCCTTTTAGCGTGCACCGTTCCCTTTTTTGCACGCTGTCTGTTCCTTAATTAAATCATCACAAAACATGCAGTCATACAATTACATCAACTGCATTATCTGTATGTGCCCTACTTGCGACCTCCTCGTAAGAGATGAAGGTCAGCTCCCCAGACCTCGTGCAGAATCCCAGCCATGATTTCTCCATGGAATGGCCCCACGGAGCCCCTCCTGGAGCTGCAGTGCCCCCAGTGACCCCTTCCACTGGCCAAGAAGCAGCAGTGACAGCATTGGGCATGGGAACAGCCCTTTCTGGTCAACTGAGCTGCAAACAACTGGACCAGCTGACTCAGTAACGCAATAGATTTGAAAATCTATTCAACAAACTTTCAAATTTCTACTGGAATGGAACCAACTTCTCCCTCTTTCTGTGATATAACAACATCCTCTGCTTTTTTTAAATAGAGGACAGAAGTATTTTCAGAAATCTCCTTCCTTTTTCTGCCTCCCCTGCCCACACAACAAGCAAACACTATTGTCAGATCCCCGTTGGTCGCAGAGACAAACTCCGTCTGTTATTCCAGACGCTGCTGGGTGCCAATGTCCTTTTTCTCCCTTTGTCATTTTTGCAAAGCCTCATTTATAATTGACGGTCATTTCCATCCACTTCCTCTTCTTCCTCCGTGAGTTAATTTTTTAAAATGTGTCTGTTCATACTTGTGACTTTGTGAGCACACAGAGACGTGTCCGCAATTCCTAATTGCGTGCAACTGAATTTCCACCACCAGGAAATGCTTCTTTATAGCAACAGGTGGAAACGCTGCCAGTTTGGACACTAATCTGCCCACACAAAGGCAATTAACTGGTGAACTATTCGATACCTGCTCAGCTTGTATTCTCTACCTGTTAAACCCAGAGCACTCCCTGCTCCTGAGCCCCACAGAAGCAGCCTTGCTGGGTGCCATGGGGACCTTCTATGGGTTCACTGCACTGCCAGCACGCAGCGAAGGTCCTGGCACGGGGTGGGAAGCAGCACCAGAAGGGTTAACACAACCACAGCATCTCCACACCGTGCTCAACCTGCACGGTGCTGCGAGCAGCAAACAGCAGCAGCAGCTCCTGCTCTCATCACATCCCCACGTGCTTGAAACAAATCACTTTTAAAGCATGTCAGTGCAAATCGCTGCTCTGCCCCCGTGCAGTACGTGGGCAGACTTTGTCACAACACAGAGACAACTGAAGGCTCTGCTTTCAAACACCTGGAACCCAAATCCAAACACGGCTTGTGAGTTTAAAATATTAAAGGAAAGCAGGAATCGATACCTGGTACACAGCAATGCCTCCCTGAGCACCATCAGCACAAAGCAGCGTGCCGCTGCCTCCAACCCAGAGCCACTCTGGCTGTTTGGGGACATCCTTGGGGCTGCCCCATGACCTCTGCCCCATGAGACCCCCCCCAGTGTGTTTGATTTCTCAGCAGTCCAATGAACTTGGGCTGTTTTCAGCCAGAAACGGGAATTGCACCGAGGAGCCACGGAAAGGGAGCTGGGTGAGAAGGCTTTATTCGCATTGCTGCTATTTAGCAATAGATTTGGACACTGGGAGTGCATTAAAAATAATGTTTGGCCATTAATGTTGACAACAGCATAGTAACACAGAGCCTCATAAAGTACCAGCTGAAGCTAAAGAGGTTTCCTGAAGCAGCTCTGAGCACATGCTGCATGCAGAGAAGGCAAGGGGCATCGCAACAGCCCCCCCATAAGTGCTGACACCAATGCACACCTCCCACAGACACTGCTGGGTCACACACACCTCACTGTGCTTCCCTGGCTGCTGGCACATGGCACAAAGCAGTGCTGAGGGAGCCTGCAGAAGGTCCCTGTGAGCACACACAGGAACAGAACAACACCTGCAGCACCCAAACCACGCACAAATTCTTCCTTTAGTCTCTTTGTAAAGTCAGAGCAGCCACTAAAAACTGTGTCATGTCATCCAGCACAACAAAGCCAATTCTCCACAGCTGTGGGAAGGACGCAGGCACAACGTTGGACACATTCTCTCCTCCTCCAGCCCCTGTGAAATCAAAGGTTGCTCTCTCTAACACAAACCCAAGGGGCAAACAGCAATGCTAGCACCATTACTGTTCCTTCACCAGCACACAGCCAGCACCAGTGGGCACCAGTGTGTCTTTTCTGACCCCCCACCCTGGAAATGCCCACACAGCATCCCCTGAAGGGAGCTCCCACCAGACACAGAACATCCCTGCTCCCTGTGTTCTGCTGCAACACGTATTTTGTTAACAGGAATTCATGCTTTTAGGTTAATATGTGCACCGTGTTAATATTTCAGATACAGGATTGGCTTTCTGAGCACACACATCTTGCTGCTTGGAGCACCGACGTGCCAATGGTAAACAATGTTTATTATTCCTTCAGACAAACCATCATCCTATGCAAAATATCCCAGAGCAGGACTGACTCGTGGAAGCAGATGAAGTTGGGCACCAAGCAGACGAGCAGCACTGATGGAGCTGTTGATGCTGCCCATCCTGCTCACTGTGGCAGGGTGAGAAATTCCAAAGAGCTCTCAGCTCCCAGCGATGAGCCAAAGGGCACAGCACTGTTTTTGTTCCCTGTTTTTGTTCTGCATTTCAATTTTAATACACCTTGCCTCTGCCCTCCCCCTGCCTCCACAGCAAGCGTTGAAGCAGCGCTCCCTCATGCCACAAGGTGAACCAATAACAGCAAATCCACGTGATGTATTCCTGGGCATCTCTTCCTACCAGCCTGCTCCATTTCTTCATTTTAAATGAAAAAGTAAAGTACTGCCTGAACACCTGAAGCAATAAAGATTACCATGAAGGAAAGCGTTATAGCAGCTTAAGGAGCAGCGTAGCGATGAGCATGCAGCTCAAGGTGGGATCTGAGAGCAACTTTGCATATTTGGTGATTTTCCTGCATGATTTTCAAGGAGAAACTTGAAAATGAAAGGTAACATCTTTCTAATGGCTGTGAACGCCTCTGTGCAGCAATGAGGACTTGGAGCTGACTGAGGAAGCTTATCTTTCTAACTGTACACAGCAGCACACCAGAGGGACTGCTACAGCCCTATCTCAAAGAGAGAAGTGGAAGGAAGTGTTAAATTATGGGTGATTGGATGCAGAAGAGCAGAAATCCTCTCCGGAGCAAAGGATTTCAGTGCAGTTGCAGCAAATGAACCACATTTCTTCCTCCCTCTCCCTCTTTGTTTGGCACGTTCCACAGCACTTCCAACATTACTGCTGTCCTCTGATTTCTCCCACACGTGGCACAGCAGCTCCACAGGGACGGAAAGGTGAGCAAAGGTGCCACAGATGTATCAGAGAAAGCCAGAGAAGGGACTGCACAAAGCACATAAAATCAGGGCAGGATTTTGCTGTATGTCAGGTTAGAAGCAAAAATATGCTGCAAACACACTGATTCTTTTGTCATTTTTTCCACTACACTTGCCCTTGGAAATAATACCGCTTAATACTGTGCGACTGACATCAAATTATTTCTTATTCCTGGCAATGTAGTGCAGCAGAAAAGGAGAGTTATTGGTGGATGATTTGGAGAAGGAGATGAGACAGCGATTGGAACTGACTATTCCTGTTTGGCAAGATAAAGCATCCCCCTTTCATAGACTGTTTTCCTCTATTTTCTTACAGAGAAATGTCTTATTCTGCACGCACAAAGGAGCCAAGATCCCAACGCCTGGCACAAAGGCTGCAGATCTGGGCTGTGCTGGAGAGCTAAAGGCTGAGCTGCCCTTCTCCCTGAGCTCAGTGTGGATAAGGGCACTGCTGACCAAACCAAACCAACCACAGGGGAAAACACTGCACAGCCCAACGGGCACCTCAGCATCGTGGCACTGCCGTGCTGGGAGGTCCCAAGAGATGACACGCAAACACAACACACCTCAGACTGGAAATATACAGCAAGAAAACCTTGGTGTTTTCCACGGTTTGAAAACACCTGCTAGAAATTAATGATTCAGCTCATACCTACAATTAAAGGCACGGAAGAAAAGAGATTGGCTGAGCATCCCACTGCTCGCACGGGCCGCTAATGCTGTTCCTGCAGCAACGTTTCTGCCTCCAGTGGAGCAAACCTTGGCAGCCACTCACCCGTTGGCCCGGAGCTGAAGGTGTCCCTGAGCTGCAGCCCTCCTGTCTGCCAGGCTCCGTGCTGCAGAGTGCAGCCAAGGGAGCACTTACAGGAAACGTCTCCAGGAGTTTGCCAAAGCAGAAGCGTCAAGTGCCTTATAAATAAACGTGCATTATTGTTGTTGTTTACTAATCCAGCACAGCATCCTTGGATACTGTGCACCCATTAAGCTTCTCGCACGTCTCCTGTGGTCGCAGGGAGACAAGTGGTTCTTCATTGCTAAACGCTCGCAGCAAAACTCCGGGGCAAACTCCATCTCCAGGGCCTCGTATCACACAGTATCTGATTCTGCTGAGCTGCTGCAGACCCTCTCAGTTCACCACGTGCAGAAGCAAGGCAAGGCGCAGCCCAGCCTCTCCATCCCTGCAAATACAGAGACCCTCAGTCCCAGGCTCCCCATTTGTGAGGCTGCAGGGGGGGGCTCAGACCCACAGCCCCAAGAAGCAGCATTGCCAGGCAGCAGTTTTCTTTCTGGATGGATCTCGCAGCAGCGTGCCTTTCAGTAATTTCCTCCCTCGTTTAATAGGAATTTATTTAATTTTGTTTTGAAGATATGCAGTGCCGTTAATTGCTGTTCTAACATGTCTCTAATGATATATCCCTTCTAATTGTTTATTGCTTCCCTACCTCTTAAGTGCTTGAATGCATTCACAAATACTAATCTGTTCTCTGCACAATCAGCTATCCCACTCAGCAAAGTACAGCGAGGCACATTTAAAATAAAGACTTGCACTTGTTTTGCTGAACTCTATAGCAATCTCCTTGCTAGCCACATTTCTTTGCAACCGTCTTTTAGCAGAGTGTAGCCTGACTTTGCAGATTTAGGCAGGCAAAATAAAGCAAGCAACATTGCAAGTGACATCATTTACAGCATAATGTAAAAGCAAAAAAAAACACTCTTTTGAATTCTGACTTTTCAGAGAGGTGCTTTGAAGGCTCGTGTACCCACTTCACAGGAGAACAGCTGAAGCCACGGGTGTGAGAGGCACCGATGGAGCATCACAACCCACCCGTGATGAACAAAGAGCATCCTACCTCATAGTGAGCCACGCGCTGGGACTCGGATATCAGCTGCGCGCTGCACACTCTGCAGTAACTTTCAGTGAACAACTCCTGGTCAATGTCAGAAGATTTCATCTGTTCACGGCAACAAAGAGAAGAGACAACAAACAGATTTAGTTCCAAAGCAGAAGCAGTTGTGTTCGATGGAGGTCCCTGTGGGCCAGAGGTCCTTGGCAGTGCAGGATGCACGTGGGAACCTTCAGCTTTCTGCCCACCATGCAGGCACCCATGGGTGTCAAACCCTGCTTTACAGCCACGCTGAGCCCCAGCAGAGCGAAAACCACCATTAGGAACTTCAGAGAGAGGAAATTCAAACCAAACCAAAACAAACAATTTGCAATTCAAGAGGGAAATAGAGGCCAATGCTTTCTGACTAATGCCAAGATAAAGCGTCTATTAATTCATAATCATAACAAACCCAGGCGCAATGAAGACTGATAATGTGGTTTTTATAGCATTTATTCTGCTGATTGGGAAGGAAAACAACACGACAATAACCGAGTTATGAGCTCTCATAGCAGGCGGGGGAGGCCCTGCCAGCTGCAGGAAAAGCTCCTTTTGGTGTTCTGGATCTGCCAGACAAAAGGTGCAAACCCCGGAGCTCCCCTGCTGCCCTCACTCACTGATTCTGCAAATCACTGCTGGTTTTCCCCTCTTTCTTTCTAGGTTTAATCTTCATTTACTCTGTCTGGAATACTGCTGTATTGGGAAACTTTCAAAGATGCCAGAAGAACCTTTTAGGAGTACAAGTAGTGCTGCAAAATTGCATCAAAGGCAAAATAAAGTGGGAGAAACAACCTCTGAAACACAACAGATTGACACGAGGCAAACCAAAGAATCTCATTAAATCTTAATCCAGCAGCCAAACAGAGGCGTATCGCCTTCATCTGCATGCAGTCTGCAGCACTCACAGTATAAACTCTCACTGCGAAAATCAGAGTGAGTCAAAACTGCTCAGTGTTAGCTCAGCCCTTCCTGCTCTGATAACAGATCCCAGGTCTATTTTGCCTCTGAATTACAGCCATGTGAGTGGAGCTGTATCAACATCCCCCCCCCCCCCCCCCATTTCCTTTATTGCAGCAGGGGCTAAACAGGCTTATCCAAGAACAAGATTTAATGTCCTTTCTCTAAGCAGTAACTTCTGACTCAGAGATAGGATTTGTTAGCTTCAATATTGTCTGCTCGGTTTTATGCACCATTGTTACAACAGAAGGATGAAATGCATCCCAACAGGTGAATGCAGTCATTATGCTGACAACGTGAAAGCTCTGCAGCTTTGTGGAGTGATTCATGTGTAACTACTCAAGTTCCCTAATAAAGTCTCGCTGGAACAACAGACTCTAAAGTAATGCATCAGGAGCCCATGGCAGACTGTGCAAGACAATTAAATTAGTGTTAAAAGGTAACCAATCTGGAAGTCTTCTCCCTCAGTCACCATCCCCAGTATTCACACGATGTTTGGAGTGCTGGAAATGAGGAATTACCACCACGAGATCACACGTGTCTGGCCTTGGTTCAGACCTCTGCTGTGCTCCCATGCACAAGCAAATCCACAGCTTGAGGAGCTTCGCTTTCACCCAAAAAGCCAACCTCTGTGGCTGGCTTTCTGCTCAGCCTACAGCAGCATTCCCCTACCAGCACCCACCTGAACACACCACCCTTGCAGAGCTACCACTAAATCCCAGATACCTCGAGGCTAAGTTTGAACTCAATGCCTGTTCAGAAAACAGACTCTTACCTGTCCTACATCAGCATAACAGGAAGGCAAAAATCCCCTTCTCTTTTCACTGTGCTTCTTCACTGCCTCTCTGCTGCCTGAGAGCATCTCCACGTAGCCTGGAGTGCCACTCTGAGTGCTGACACTTGTGCACATGGCAGTGTGAGCTGCTGGCTCTGGACACAGCTTTTGTGTTCATTGATTCATTCACATTCCCCAAATATTTCTTTCATTTTCCATTCCAGGATAACAACGCTGCTATGGCAGTATATCAGAAAGGTGCCAAGGAAACCTGCTGCCAAACAAATGAACACACACACACCTCTACATCACATAAACCACGCTGCCACTGCTGGAGGACACCGGGGATCCTGCACAGCAACTGCAGGACTATGCCAGCATCAGCTGAGACCCACCTGTCCCCTGCAGAGGGGTCTGCACTGCGGGCAGCCCCACTGGTGGCATCTGCTGCAAGGGCTTCGTCTGCAGCAAAGGCAGATCCCAGACACGAAGCCTGGGGGTAAAGAAAACAGTTCTGTTGTGTCACTCCCTGACCTAAAAACAGTGCTTTCATGTGCTCCAGAAAGGTCTTTCCCCCTCCCTCCCCTCATTGTGTCTCAGACACATTCAGTATTGTTTTGTGGGTCAGTGCCAGCAGTGATTTATTAACTTCCTCTACCTGAGAGTGTCATAAAGGGAGTCCATCAGCAATTAATATTTATGCATTTCTAATCACTTAATTCCTTTTTAACTCTCCCTGCCTACCAGCACCTTACAGCTCGCAGAATTGCTGGGTTGGGACGATCCCCACCTGCACCCTTTGCCAGAAGAGATCCAGGCTGTGCCCCACCAGCACCGTGCTGGAGAAGTGCAGATGCTGAGCAAGGAGAGATCTGTTCCCTGCATGTTCCCAGAGGTTTTCTTGCTGAGAGCTGAGGAATTAATGTGCAATTTACACCCTGCCAGCCACACTCAGTGAGCAGAAGCATCGGGCTGCACTGCATGGTGTGAGCACCCAAAACTCCTTGTCTGCTCCTCCTCAGGTGCAGATATGGGTGACGGTGCTCCCACCACAACCACCACCTCTCCTCCTCTCCCCACAGCGGGGTTTATGACTCGCTATTTCCTCATGTTGGCACTCAGGTTTTGGTGTTCCTCTCCTGCTCCGTAACCCCTGCACATATCAGAATGGCAAACTGTCATGAGAGCCCTCATTTTAAATACCTTCTGCCATATGGCCACGATTCTTCTCAGCAGTTTCAATGACTATAACGGCTTAATGAAAATCAATTTGATGGGGCTGACTCCAGCTTTTGGCAACCACCAGGAAGATGCTAAGTTGCATTCAATTTTTAGAGGAGAGAAATCAACATCTTGACACCAGGGACACCTCAGTGCTCTTTTCCAAACGCAATGGTTCTATGATTCTACGACGTACCCAAAGCCACATTGCTTCTTTAAGGAGCTGTGCTGCAGCTGAAACCCAGCAGACGTGGACACGTGCTGTGCCACGCTGGGATGTGAGCACCCAGCTCTGAGCCATGGATGTGGTGCTCCATCACTGCTCAGTGTGAATTTCTGCAGAGGCTCGTTTTTCATGTTGCACAGCCAAGCACAGGGAAGGCTGTACTACAAAGCACTGAATTCAGCAACTCCATTTCTTGCAGTCAAGAGGAGAAAAATGTTGTCCTTCATACCATTTACTCTCAAGGGCCTTAATCACCTTTCCCAAAATTAACAGCTTCCGAAACCCCTGCACTGAAGCACCAGAGAAGTGACGACTGAGCATGTGCACGAATGCCAGAAGCAAGCAAGCCAAAAATTAAATGCCCTGATTTTCATTTTATGAATTATTGGTGCCTGTCACTCTCTCATGGATTAACATCTCATGTAACACTTCCTGTTATCTTCAGTTGTTTAATTTGTCTTGCAACAACAACAAAAAAAAGTCTATGCTAATAATTAATGTGCTTTCAGCAACTGTGTCACCGCACTTACAAGAAAGCATCTGAAGAAATGCAAAACATTGCCTTTTGAAGTGCTGTATTTCAACACTACGACGGATGGCTGAGCCTGTTCCATGAGTTCAGTTCTCCTCAGGCTGCGTGCTTTGGGGTTCAGCTTGCTCTGCTCCAAACCAAGCTGCTCTGTGCTCCTCCAGCTGTGCTGCACATCTGTCTGCACCCCTTCCGTGCTTCACTTCCCCTGCATCTCTTCCCTGGTTCAGAGTTCATCCACCACCTCCTTCCTTCTCTCCTCTCCAGTGTCAATTTGCCTCACTCCTGCCTTCAGTCTTTGATGCATTTTGACACGCTTTATTGGAGCTTTGAAAATCAGAACAAGACTGTGTGTGGCGTGAGCTGGAGAGCAGGAGAAACGCTGCACGTGTCTGCTGCATGTGTCAAAACACAGAGGAAAGGCTGAGGGGAGTGACACGGAGGAGATGGAACACGGACACAACCTCTGCCAGCCACAAACCAGTGCTGCACAACTTCCCCATCCCCAGCAGCTCTGTGCTAGGAGCCACCTCAGCACAGACTCAGACAGCAATGGAGAAGAGTGTGCATGCAGCAGAGAGCACGACCCAGTGCCATGGACTGCTGCATGGGTGGCAGAGGTGGGATGCTGCAAGGTTTAAAGGGAGGAACGCTGCAATTTGGAGAGCAGCTCGGTCCCTACAACGCGTGCAGCTGGTTATACCTACAAATTCTTTTGATTATTCACACTGCTACGGTGCGGCAGAATTTAATTGCGAACATGCTGACTTGAATAAAAACGTATTTAAAGAGAAGATTGATCTATTGTGACTGATTTAATAAAGTTGGTGGGAACAGCACTAAGAGCAATCGTATTTCGTGCCTCACTGTGTGCCCAGCACACCTCAAGGACGAGGCTTTGGCATCTGCCCCAGAGCAGCCCGGTTGTGCAGCTCAGGCCTTTTCTCAGCAGGGATGTGCCCAAAAGAAGGGGCCAAAGCAGCCCTCGTGCAGGCTCTGGGGACAAAGGGGCTGACGCAGCCAAAGGCAGCAGAAGGACTCACTCATATTGGGATGCAGGAGCGGATGGGGGCAGGAAAGCGCAGCCCTGGGGCTGCGTGCTGCACGGTGGGCATCGCGGGGCTGGCACTGGGTGCCCAGCAGGCTGGCACACTGCAGAGCCAGGGTTACCATGTGATGCTCGTGGTTGCTATGGAAACAGTAGTTTCTCATGGAAAACACGCATCAATAGTCCCTGTGCCTCCCAGAGCAGAGCGCAGTCAGCGCTGCCAGGGTGCGGGCACACAGGTCATGGGCTGCCCAGTGCTGGGTACCAGGGCTGTGCTGCAGAGTGCTGTGCTGCTCAGCCCCCACGTGCAGTG